GATGATCCCAGAGGTCTCTTCCAACGAAACCAATTCCGTGATTCTGTCTAGCTCTTTGCATGGCTCCTATCCCTGTATCTGATCGTGGCCTAGGATTTGTGCTCTAAGCTAATGTATATACTAAATTACGGTAAATGTAAAACTACTCATTTCACTTTTGTCCCTATATGAATTTCTGTACTGTAGCTTTTTCTCTCTGTCCATGGCAAAACATAGCTTTGTTCTATAGGAAAGGATGAGAAAAATTTCTCAAACTAAAAATAAAGCATTAAAAAGATCTAATGAAAATTCTGTCCTGGACAGTGAGAGTACTTAGAGCTGTGTTTAATGAATGACAGATAATAAGTAGCTGAAGTCAACTGTATTTGCAGTGAGAGTACTTAGAGCTGTGTTTAACGAATGACTGATAATAAGTAGCTGAAGTCAACTGTATTTAAAAGAGTTTCCTGTGTGTATATGCTAACTCTGCACATCCCACCATGATCAAAGTACGGTCTTCCACCAATTCCATGAACAACAAAAGTGGCTGGATTTTAAGTTTCCTCTTTCTTGTTTGGCCAGGTAAAACTCTGGCACGTAGGTCATAGATAGTCCTTTAACCCTGACCTTTGTAGATGTGCACACTCCTCTTTCAAAATACCTTTTTGTGATGGTAAAGCTTGCAGCACTTAGTTCAGATCAACGCCCTCAGCTCCGTACTCCAGATCTTGAATGGAACAAGGGAGCTTGCAGGAACAGTCTTCCATGTGAAGACTTCCTAGGTGCTCCTTCTGGTGAGACTGCAGACCAGAAGAGCTGCCTTAAACCCAATGTCAGTTCTGTTCACTGTAAAAATGAATGACTACATCTTGACAATCTCTATAATTTTGGATAGAGAACAAAGTCAAATCATGAAACCCCCACCACAGGTGTCTCTACTGAATCTCTTTCTTTTTCCTTCATCTTCTGCAATATTGAACTGCTTTCTAAAGACAGAAATGTGTAGGCAATAGAAACAGTAAAATGCAGGAGGAATATCAAATACTTTTAACTGGGAAGTGTTTTACATAGTCATTGACTGTTTTCTTGGGTAGTCTCAGTCACATTTTGATACTTGTCCTGCAATATTACACTGTTCAGGATGTGGACATTCCCAGAAATGAAAGACCTCTGAGAGGAGGCATATAATACTTAAGTCTAACAATTAAGAGCACTTTCAAAGAGTACAAGTAATTATTTGTGGTCTCTGCTTCTGCAACAGTAGCTTTACCTTATGAAGTAGGAGCTGGAATCGTCTTGTCTCACTTCGTCCATCTCCAAGTTAAACATCTAGTTTAAGTTGGTTGTCCAGGATCTGGCAGTCAAAAGATTTGTATTCCTACCACTGCAGGTGTGGTCTGGGAACTGTGGCTACTCAACTCCTCTAAAATTGGGCTCTGTGTACCTAGTAAATTATGTGGATTTAAACAATAGCTGAAATTATATGGAAAAAGGATAATAGCCAAAACAACATCAAATATATGAATCAAACCAAAATATGAATATATGATCAACAAGCTGACTTGAAGTGATGCATGGTAGTCGTGCATGTGTTTTTACCTGTCTTAGCCATTCTATTTATTATGAACTTGAAGGCTGTTTTTAAGTGGTTTTTCTATAGGAAGCTAAAGAATGAGGGTGGGGGAATCTTAGGAATGCATTTGGAATGAGATTTTCTGTCTGCAACTATTGTATTGCCCATCTCAAAATCAATTTTATTTAGTCATCCTCACAAATGACGTTTTTAAGGAACGAAATAGTAATTACAAGTTAGCCATATTGCAAAATGAATAATAGATATGTTTAGTTGTTAAATATTTATTTTATTAAATGGAGCAGGAAAAATAGCGGTGAGTTTTTTCTCTGAACAGAAGATTATTTCTGTGATTTTGACTCCTTGGAGCTTTACAGATTTGGCTTTTTTAGTCTGAGTGGAAGCAGAAAGAGTCTAATCAGTGTCTCTACAGAGCTCTGACTCGGGGCTCTGGCAGCATCCCAAGGTATTTCAACCACTGCTGATCAAAACACTACACCTACCCCTATGGCTCACTTGGAACAGGACCCGCAAGCATGACTGGAGGAGCAGTCAGCTGTGCCTGTGAAGGGTGACTAGGCTGTGATGAGGGAGACCTCTAAAGTATATCTAGGGTGTCCAACCTGATCAGTTGTTAAGAAAGTAGTGATGCCTGCTTTCTCTTTTAAGTATTATACGTTAGAGGACGAAACACTACACCTACCCCTATGGCTCACTTGGAACAGGACCCGCAAGCATGACTGGAGGAGCAGTCAGCTGTGCCTGTGAAGGGTGACTAGGCTGTGATGAGGGAGACCTCTAAAGTATATCTAGGGTGTCCAACCTGATCAGTTGTTAAGAAAGTAGTGATGCCTGCTTTCTCTTTTAAGTATTATACGTTAGAGGACGATCATGAAACCTGAATTATGTACTAGTTAAGGGATTGCATTGACACTCCAGGGCCAAATCCTGTCCTCCTGTCTCTATGCGTTGTTTTGAATTCAAGAGTCTTGGAAGCTACTTATATGTTCATCTGAGAAAGGAATTTATCTTTCTTTGAGTTGCAGTGGTTATATATAGAAAGAGGTGCAAATTAAATTGGTACGGCTGTTAAAAAGGAATGAGTTCCTGGAGAACCTGTCGGCAAAACGAACAGTCATCTAATTTCATAGGTATATGGAACATATTTTGAAGTCAAACAGTTCAGGGCAATCCCCAGCACAATACAGTTTCTCTTCACAGTTTAAATTTAATCCTTGTTTTGTCCATGTAGATGTCCTCTGAGGTGTTGAAGACTGTGGCATAAGGAACATACAGGAAATTTAAAACCTGGATTTCCTATAAATGTAGTCACTGGTGGAAGATTTAATTAGTAATTGATTCAGTATGAAACCAGCATAATTTCAGGTCAGGTGACATACCGGACATATGTAAGTCCATGAGCCCTGATAGCATGCACCCACGAGTGCTGACGTCACTGTGAGGCCACTCTTGATAATCCTTGAAGAATCATGGCAACCAGGAGAAGTGCCTCAGGAATGGAGGAGAGCAAATGCTGCTCCTTTCTTCGAAAAGGGGCAAGAAGGAGGACTCGGGGACCTGCAGGCCCGTCAGCCTCACCTTGATCTCTGAGAATGTGATGGAATAGCTAATCCTGGAAACCATTTTGATGCATGTGAAGGACAAGAAGGTGTTTGGGAGTAGTCAGCATGGGTTCACCAAGGGGAAGTCTTGCTTAACCAACCTGGTAATGTTCTACAGTGAAACAACTGGCTGGATAGATGAGAGGAGAGTGGTGAATATTGTCTACCTTAATTTCAGTAAGGCTTTCAACAGTGTCTCCCATAAAGTCCTCATAGAGAAGCTGTTGAAGTGTGGGCTGGAGGAGGACACAGTGAGATGGATTGAGAACTGGCTGAACAGCTGGGCTGAGCATGGCCATCAAGGGTATGAAGTCTAGTTAGAGGTATGTACTATATATACTGCTGTGGGGTGCATACACTAGCAGCGTAACCTGGGGGTCAGAGCTAGGCCCAGTCCTCTTTGACATCTTTATTAATGATCTGGATGATGGGGCAGATATGTACTCTGATGACACAAAACTGGGAGGAGTGGCTGATGGGCCAGAAGGTTGGGAAGCCATCTGGAGGGACCTCAGCAGACTGGAGAAACGGGCCAGCAGGAACCTCGTGAAGCTCAACAAGAAGTGCAAGGTTCTGCATCTGGGGAGGAATAACCCCGTGCACCAGCACATGCCAGGGACTGACCGGCTAGAAAGCGGCTTTGCAGAAAAGGACTTGCAGGTCCTGGTGGACGCCAAGTTGAACATGAGCCAGAAATGTGCCCTTGCAAGAAAGAAAGGCAACAGTATCGTGGGCTGCATTGGGAAAAGCATTGCCAGCAGGTCAAGAAAGGTGATCCTTCCCCTGTTCAGCACTGGTGAGACATATCTGGAGTGCTGGGACAGGACTGGGCTTTTCCAGTAGAAGAGAGACCTGGACTTACTGGAAAGAGTACCACGAAGGGCCATGAAGAGGATTAAGGGACTGGAGCATCTTTCCTGTGAGGAGAGCGGGGACTGTTCAGCCTGGAGAAGAGAAGGCTTGGGAGGATCTCCTCAATGTATGTATGTAAACACCTGAAGGGAGGCTGCAAAAAGAACAGAGCCAGACTCTTTTCAGTGGTGCCCAGTGACAGGACCAGAAGCAGTGGGCACAAACTGAAACACAGGAGGCTCCATCTGAACGTCAGGAAACACTTTTTTACTGTGAGGGTGACCAAGCACTGGCACTGCTTGCCCAGGGAGGTTGTGGAGTCTCCATCCTTGGGAATATTCCAAAGTCGTCTGGACATGGTCCCGCACAGCCTTGCTCTAGGTGACCCTGCCAAGCAGGAGGATGGACCAGATGATCTCCAGAAGTCCCTTCCAGCCTCAACCGTGCTGGGATTCTGTGACTTTATTAATCTTGTCTGAATGTTTATATTCTAGCCCCCCCTTCTCAGTCCTGATACCATTTCTGGGGCGGAGGTGAATTTATAGGAGGAGGGAGATGTTACAAAATGATGATAGAGTAATGAAATAGATCCATTTAAATGTTTTGAAGAGGCAGCAGTTCACATTTTATTGAAGCTTATGTATGGACAGATCAAAAAATCAAACAAACTGAACGCTTTAGTACAGTTGCGGGTGGTAAATGTACACAGGTACTGTACACAAAGTTAACAGTAAGTTTGGCTATGTGTAAGGAAAAGAAAGTTTTCAGGAGCTCTCTCACAAGAATTTTATATTATAAGCCCTTGGAAAGAGGTATTGGTGTGTGTTTCACATGGAGGCTGCATAAAGATCTCAGTGGTTCGTGAACTTGCTTTCAGTTTTCATGGGTTGAGGCTGTCTGGATAAAAAGTGAAGTCTGCAGGTTGGGGATATCCGTTTGTTGAGCTTTTGTGGAAATTTAAAGGTATGAAATGATAACAGCAAGGTCACATAAGCAGCCTTCTCTCTCCTGATTAGGAATTTAATAATGAACTATATACTGTTTCTGTGGGATTAACCCACCATCTCTGCCCACGGGATTGTCACTTCGCGAGTCATTCCCATGGCATTCAGTGTGGGACGGACCACATCCAGTGATTGAGGCTGTCTGTGAAATACTCCAAATATGGTTCCGCACAGGTAGAAAGTTTCTGCCTCTGCTCAATTTGTTCTATATTTAAAGAAACTTGAAATGTAACAAGGAAACCACCTCAATTTTCCAAAATTTTTTTTTTTATGCTTGATTTACTGTTTCACACGCACATGTAATTCTGCCAAGAAGAGCTCAGGGAGGATTTTTGATGTGGAATACATGTATCTCTTAGGGGCTAAAGACTAGTATTTTCACCCTAAAATGCTTTCCTGGGGACAAAGTAGTGGGTACCTGATGGTGTGGAGCCCTGGTGGGCCTCAGACAGCCTGGGGCCTCCCGTGGTCATTCTGGATTCCCCACCTCCTCCAGCCACGAGGTGACCAGAAGTTTCTTGATGCCTGCTATTGGCTACCGTCAGCTGAAAAGTGACTCCTGGACTCCTGTGCTGCTACCTTTTCTCCTCTCATTTTTAATACTGAAATACAAAGAAATCTAGAAAATTGTGTGAACTTGGAATATTGTCATTTGTTGAAGTGGTGACTCTTTTTCTTCTTTCCTGCCTTTTTTTCTTGGTTTCTTCTCCTTATTCTCTGTTCTGTGTATATTTTATCTTTTCATTATCTGATGCTTATTATTTTGATTTGTTTTCCTCCCAAGGAATATGCAGGCTTTGTTCAGACCACCTCTGCTTTCAGGGAGGCCGGGACACTCATTCCCTGCTACCTTCATTCAGGAAAGACTTCCAGGCTTGGGATTTCACCAACATCCTTTCTGCCACTGCTGCTACCTGAGTTTGGGTGGGCCCCTAGATGTGGGATGTTCAGCGGGCAACAGTTTTGCTTTTTTTTTTTCCCTCCCTCATCACGTGTGGTTTCAATATGATGGCTTTATTTTTTGGGACTTGCTTTTCTACTGCAAGTAAGCCAAGAAGGTCAGGGATGAAAGGGGCTCCCAGGAGAGCCTGAGAGATGGCCAGAACGAGGTTTGCATGTAGTCTGAAAAATGCAGGCAACCTCTCTTTTCTGTGTAGTTCTGGCCCAAGTCCTATTTGCTGTTACATCAACAGAAGTCTTCTGAGACTCCTTGTGTCTGATTTAATGTACCACTTGGATGGAACAGCATTCTAAAGAAGCAGAGTGCCAGCCTGGCTAATTTTAGATAAGGTTTTGGTCACCCTGTCATAGGCAGTGTTTGTGGATAGATGTCATACGTTTACCACTTCTTTCCTTGGCTAGACATAATGAAGACAAAGATGTTCCTCAAACATAGCAACTAAAGCATGCATGCAGTCTTACCCTTTTTTAGCTAATGCGTCTGTGTTTGTTGATGTATTTTGTTTTTGCATTCTAGATCAAGATAGAGAAGGAGCTTAGCAGCCTCTACAAGAGAACGTTTGAGCCTCTCCATGTGCCTCCAGAGCTCTTCCAAAGACTAACTGGACAATTCTGCAACATTCAGACTTTAAAGACAGGTCAAGCCTATGCTGCAGAAGATAAAACATCAGTTGATGACAGATTAAGCATTCTGCTGAAGGGGAAGTAGGTTCTATAAAGCTTTGTGAGATGGTTGAATAGATTAGAAAGTTTTTGGGGTTTTTGTTGGCTTTTAAAATTTTATTGTTTGTAGCGTGTTGTGGTCTATAGCCAAATAGTCTATAGGTATAGACTATTTTGTGACACTGTTTTCAAATTACAGTGATGGCTCTTACTGGGAGCACATTATGTCTCCGCTTGTGTGTGCACAGCTGCATGGATTTTGGTGGGAATTACATTTGTATAATACCAAAGGCAGTGTCTTCCAGAACAAGCAAGAGTTTTGTTTGAATCTTAGATATCTAAGTCATCTTCTCAGTGCATTCTCAGGTTTTAAGGTTAAAAAATATTTCAGGTTAAAAATACTGTGCATGAGGGAATCAAAAAATGTCCCTCCAGTAGACTTTAAAGCAACAGACCTATTGGAATTGATTCATTGCACGTGTACGTGCAAGCAGAGAGGGGCAGGTGCACTGCTCAGAGGCTGACAGGACCCAGGTGAGAAAGGGTAAAATAAACGCCCATGGCCAGGCTGTAATCTTGAAGCGCTCTGTAATCTTGAAGTTCTGGCCGATATTTTAACCAGTTTCTGTTGATAGCATCAGTGATGTCAGGCTTCATCGTTTTTCTTTGAAGTCGTTAGCTGCTCAGTACTGCAAAGCTAGTTATCTAAAGGAAGCCTGATTCTGGTCTGGCTGGGTAGCATTTCATTTTGAATAACAATGTTTTGAGGGTACACACCACGTTCGGCAACTGGAATTGGCTGGCAGCCTGTTCTGCTTGGAATCGGTGGAGGTTTAGGCTGAAAACAGGGTGGCTCTGGGGCTAAAATCCCTGAAGATGAACATATTTTTGTCTGTTACCTACTGCTTTACCATTGTCAATAATTATATACAAATTTAGATGAAATCGACATCCATGACTTTAAAATATTGTCTCATACATTTTTATTTCCAGAATGAAGGTGTCTTATCGAGGGCATTTTCTGCATAATATTTACCCCTGTGCCTTTATAGATTCTCCTGAATTTCGATCAACGCAGATGAACCGGGGTGAGAAATTCCAGGTATACTTGGTTTAAATGTCACTGGATATGAGCTGATGAGATCATTAAAAACCAGAGTATAACTTTCATCGACAGTGAACTATTGGAATCGCATGATTTTGCTAGTGTTTTAGTACTTGTATTTCATGATGGACCAATATCAAGAATAGCTTTTAAAATTAAATGATGCAAAACAGTGTTATGATGGTGTTTTCTGAGCAGTCTGGCTTTTGCTATTCTGTTCTCTTTTACTGTTTCCAAGTTATTTTGTGTTAAGAGATTATTCAGGACAAATAATTTAAGAGATAGCTTTACCGGAAAAAAGAGATGATGTGAGCAGTCTCATTGCTGGTTCAAAAACAGAAAAGGAAAAGTAATTACTGTAATACTTGGTGTTACTAAAATGAGAGACTGAAAATTCAGGCAGTAGTAGTTTGTCATTGGTATTTATCTGAACTTATTAATGCTTCTGTCATTTTGACTGTTGTTAAAGCAACATAAGCTGAAAGAGATCACTATTTTGAGTAAGAACATTCATATAGGGAACAATAAGGGTATAGGTCTCTAGCAGTGTAATTATGCTAGTACATTAAAGGATATATTATAGTATAGCTTGTGGGAAAAATAGTGTTGGAGAAGTTTTTTTTCCTGTAGTACTGAAATGGCCATTTTGCTAGCTCTTGCTTGGTGTTCTTTAACTGGGTATGTGTAATAATGACCAGACCGTGGCTGACTGGGTACTTCCACACTGATACCCTAGCAGAAGGGGTGGGAGGGAAAGCAACGTAGACTCTAAAATCAGTGATTGATGTCATATGTTCCAGTCAAATACTAGGCTTAACGCCAAGGCGAGAGAATTGTCCCGATGTATTCATTTTGCAGCAGTGAGGCGTCCTGCAGCCTGGCCGCCCTCTTGGCACAGCCCGTTTTCTCTCGTAAGCAACTGGATACGAAGCGGTCCCTCTGAAGGGAAAAGGCTCATGCCTCAGCTTCTGCCTGCCTTAAAAATTATTGTAATCTGGTGCGGTGTACGTCCTTCACTCCCGAGTTTTGCTGGTTTCTGCCGTATGAACACTCTCAGCGTTGCCGTTGCAAGAGAACACGGATTCAATCTTAAGGACCCCATCTGCTGGCAACGCTGGCAAATTCTTCCTCAGCCTGTGTGCTTATATTAGAGACCGTGAAGTTAAAATCCATGGATACATGACAGTTTCCCATTATTTCTTAGGCTTTATGTATTTTTAATTTTTCAGGAGGTGATGTTAGCTTGTAATAGCAGAGAGCACCCGATTTCTTTGTAGATGACTGGCTTACCCAACCCAACAGCATGTTTTGGAAGGGTATCACCGAGTGGTGCAGGCTTCGATGTGCCATTGCCCTCTGCCGGCACAGGGGCATGAACCTGGCCGGTCCAGCTTCCCTGGAGGGGATGCAAGTTCCTCTGTAACTGTTGATAGCTGAATTATCAGTAACTCAGTTTTTTGAGTTTGCTCCATTGAGCAAAGGGAGCCTTAGCTCAACTGCTGGGAGGTGGTACTTGTGGGATCAGCAGGGCTGACAGTGAAGAGAGAAAGATGAAAATATGGGTTTTAAATCACTGAAAACTCTCTGATGGAGACCTTTGGATTATACCAGTTGTTCCTGTTTGGAGACAGTGACATAAAATAAAACCAAGCAACATGAAGGCTTAATGGGATGCAAGTAGTGCATCACTGTAGGACTTTATATGTAAATCTCCTGTAACAGAAATGCTTTTACAGTTTGGGAACTTATGAGAGATTTTCCCCTATTATTTCCCCTCAGCTTTTCTGAAAAACAAACTAGCCATGCTTATCAGTTTAAAATAAGATGATATTAAATATCTGAGATGTTTTACGTTTGTAAATATCATGTTCTAAAGGATACCGAAAAGTTTGATGGCTTTAAGAGTTATTTTAGCTGGAGGCACAAATAAAATGGTATTCCTTATTTTAAAGCAAAAGCGAAGTACTAATTCTGAGCATGTATTTTCTCAGGTCACCATTATCGCAGACGATAACTGCAAGTTCCTGTGTTGGTCCAGGGAAAGGCTGACTTATTTTCTGGAATCTGAACCATTTCTTTATGAGATCTTTAAGTATCTTATTGGCAAAGATATTACAAATAAACTCTATTCATTGAATGACCCGACTTTAAATGACAAGGTAAGCAACTGAAGTTTCATTTGGGAATTTTCCTCCCCCACACAAATGTATTGTTACTTTAACTTTAAATCATCTTAAAGCACCTTTTTTTAACCTGCTGCTACCAGCTGCTGAATTCACACTCATTGCCTTTTAGTGTCAGCGTATGAGTCAGTGCAGCGTTTTTGTCAGAAGCAATGTCGATTAAAGTTAGCACAGTAGTGTGCAAGAAAGATGAAGAACTTGAGATTCAGAACTGTTCGACTAGCACAAATATTTCTAGCCAAGTAGTAGACGTGATGGCCAGTAACTGAAAAGGTGCTTCTCCGCAGATACCCTTTCTCATTAACAAATGGGTGCCTTTGTACAAAGAAGCTTCGGGGGGGGTTTCTTAAAAAATTTGCTTGCTGGGGACAAACAAGGGGGTGATACTGATTGCCAAGAAGAATAATTTCAATGTGTGTGTGAGGGTGGCAAATACAAAAAAAAGAAGGGGGGGCAACGTTAGGTTGATATGATGTAGTTAGTGGAAGGAGGCATGAAATGCATATAAAATATAAATAAAAATAAAATATTCAATGGTCTGAGTATAACTTCTTCTTCTTTGCATGTGGAGTGAGTGTGTTTTAGGTGTCACAGTAAAAGGTCTGGGTATAGTCATCGATATATTGATTATTTTGTTTTACTTTAATTTTGTCTCCTTAGTTACATGGCTTTTCAAGATTTGGACAGTAACTGGACTGCTGGTGGTTCTTTTTATTATTTATGTAGTGGCTGTAACATTCTTATGTATAATTTATTCTAAGAACTTTCACCATTTGTGAAAAGCTTTATAGTTTCATAATACAGTATTTTTGTATTTATTTAACTCACACTGACTCAGAACAAAAATCCTTCTCATCGGATTGCCTATGAATCTCTCATATTCATAGGTTATATAGTTGCTTCTGCAAAGTTGTGAATTTACTAGAAAATGATCCAAAAGGAATGACTGCCGCTGCTACAACAGACTTCGACGGGCTTGACTTGTAATGTCTTTATGGCTAACTAGACATTGTAAGTTTTCTCTGTTTTGTACCAGCTATAGAAAGAGAAAAGAAAGGATTGCTGGCAAAGCAATTTAACAGCAATAAAGCACTGCTTATTCTGCCTTCTGGTCAGTGAAATAGATTACATTCTCTTGCAATCAGATCCTGTTCTAGATCACTGTTTTCATCTTACTAATGCAGTAAGATAAAAATTATCTAGCAGGAACGTACCATCTATAAAATACATCTTATAAAGTGTGTGGTTAAAGCTGCTTTTTTTTTTTTTTTAATAAAAAGGAATTACAGGGGAATATTCTGTATTAGAGCCCACATCTACGTAGTCAGTAAGTAATTTCTGGAGTATGGCATCTGAAAGGAGCACGTAGCAATGTGCCTCCTGTATGTGCATTCAGACTGCCTCTCCTGGGAGACTGCTGTTCTCCACACTCCTTCTCACCTTGCCTTTTTTTCTTTTTTCTCCTCTTGTTTTCCTCTTTCTTCTTTTTCCTCTTTTTTCTCTTTTCTCTATTTTATTTTCCTTTTTTCTTTCCTCTTTCCTTCCCTCATTTTCTTTTTTTACACATGGATGACAGCATTAGGGTGTCTTGCCTAGTATGCAAAGTCATCTGCAATAAACTTGTGCAGCTGACTTCTGGCCTTGTAGATCTTCAGCACTAGTATAAATATTTCTTGAAATGGAAGTATAATGAAGTACTTGTAATGTTGTAATTCGTTGTTTTTAAGTGAAAGATCATATCTTCCTTATACTTATCTGATACCACTTAATACCTTCTAAGTATTAAAAAAAAAAAAACACCAAACTTCACCCCTCCTTTGACTTAACATCTGCACACTTTTTCAGTGTGTACCAAGTCTTTATTTTTAGTGACAATAACTGTTTTATCACAGTAACTTTTGAAAATGTACATTATAAAAATTAAGAGTGAGCCTTTGGGAAATTTGTGGTACCTTTTTATTCTTCCTCAAATGAAAGTCCTGTTGCACAAACCCTTCCTACATAATGTAGGACAAGAACTGTAAGTCAAATAAACTCTCCTTCATTTCCCCATTGCCAGCACCCCACAGGCAGGTCACTTCTCACAGGCTTCGTTGTCAAATACACACATTATTGGTGTCTAATAATTTTTAGCCGGTGACAATCTCAGCAGAGAATTTTGTAGTTGACTTCTGTACACAGGGGACATACAAGAGAACAACTAAAACAAATTCAGTGTAGATTATTCATAATCGAGATGGTAGTAAGAAGGTAAGAATATTAATTCATTGCATATTGGAAAACAGAAAAGTATCCATGTGTTTGTAAGGAACCTTGTGATCTTCTGCCTCAGGAGATTTTTCACTACTCTTGGGAGAATAGTCAGTCCTCTCTGCACAAAATAGGATGCTAATTCCTGACATTTAAAGTTCAGTACAGTGGAGTTATCCATTGTACCTTTGTCATGGATTACTACCTTTCACATACACCTAAAATAGCATTCTCACTTGCAGTAATACTTAACAAGGTACAATATACGGTTTCATACAAGTATTAAAGTACAAGGACTTCTCAGGAAGAGTACTAAAAGCAAAGGGAAGCTGCTAAGACCATTTGACAGGCAGAGGATAATGTTCATGTGATGCGTTTAATCTGTCTTCAGTGAAATCAACAGCCAAATGGTCATCTTCTAGGAAGGAATGACATTAACTGGTTTTGAACATGATGAAGTGAAAAACCAGGAAAGTGGACAAGTTTCTGTTAAGATACAAATTGCCAAACTCTACATACGGCACGCTGTCTTGTTTAGCAAGGAGGACCAGGCTCATTGTAAAGGCTGTATTTAATTGCAGAGCATCATACCTGAATAATGAATTAGCAAATAATAAAAATCAGCCATTCTGTAGGAAAATACATGAAAAGTCCAATGCGAAACAGAATTAAAATTGAATAATTAATCTGAGGTTTCATGCTTGTCAATGTTCTAATTCCAATGTATTACTGGCATCTTCTGTTTTCATTTAAATCAATTTACACTGCATAGAACCTTCTGCTCTAACCAGTTTCTTGATTTGTGAATAGTCATAGCTGAGACTAGAGCATCTGTTAGAGGCAATAGTTATTTTCCATTTTTATTTTAATTTACTTGATACCTTTTTAAAAATAATAATTATTTAATTTTTTTTAGGCTTCAAAAAAGATTGATCGACAACCTAGTCTTTGCTCGCAGCTCTCTGTGATGCAGATGAGAAACAGTATGGCCAGCACCAGTGACAGTGAGGATGGCTTGCAGATGTTTCTTCGCGGGACTTCCTCTGCATCCTCTCTTCGTGAGTGCTCAAAATAGTTCATGCCAGTTTTGAACACAGCTTGGTTGATCACAAGAGATGATTGTAGAACTCCTCTTGTCTTCAGTGGGAGCAGCAGACTGTAGCTTTTTGGATGCTGCTGTACATCAACTAAGTGGAGGGACCTAACTAGGGAATTCATAAGATGTATAAGGCTTTGTATGCTAACTGAACCTACCTCGTGTAGATACTGGCAAAAACCCAAGCACGTATTGTAATAATTTTTGACATAATGTGAATGTGTAGGCATAATATGGAATGTTTATAGCAGTGGGGCAAAACTGTGAATGCGCAAAGCCTGTCACAGTAGTATCTCCTTTGGTCTGTGACTGGTGCTTGTAGAAATTAAAAACCCAAACTAAACTTCTTCCCTCAGAGCAATTTGGTGCTCTGCATTTCCTCCTGAGATAGTTGTGTTGGCAGAGTTTGGAGAAATGTGGTGTACCACCAATATTTTGATGCCACCTGGAAAATCTCCAAATATGCTGTCAGGCCCTCCTCCTCTGTGCTTTGTATAACTGGAGTAGTATAGAACAGATGAAATGAGGGAAGAAACCAAGTCTGACCTTTTGGCTTCTACTCTTGGAATTTATTCCTTTACAGAAACCTTCTAAACAAGTCTTTCTAGGCTTTTGCTATTGCTTATTTTTAATTCCCCTGAATGAGAACTTCAACAGTAGCCTGAACTCTGAAAGCAGCTTTTGAACAAAAAAACCCAGAAGATGCTCAATTTTCTTATTTGGCATAAGCTGTTAGTTTAACAGAATTTTTAAAAGTCATATAGAATTATTTATTTTGATTTGGGAAATGTTATTCTTTAGTAATTAGAATTCAAATATATGAGGAAAAAAATATCACTGCCAGTTATTTATTATGGTTAAACTCTCTGCTAAGAAGAGAAAGAGATTGAAAGTATTTGCAATTTCCCATTTAATAATCTGTTCTCCCTTGTGTTCCTCGCAGTTGTCATCCAGGAACTCCTTCAGACTTGGGGGACTTACCTGTTTTCACTCCTTAACATTGGTGTAGTCTGCATGCTCAGATAGATGGAAGCAAAAGCCCTTGTGGTGTGTCACCCTACTAGAACGTGGAGAGTGACAGCTGGGATATAGTTTGATTAAAATTCCAGCGTTGTTTTCTGTATTTCTCCTATGTTCCCTGAAAGGACATTTAGAATCGTAGAACAGTTGAGGTTGGAAGGAACCTCTGGAGATCATCTAGTCCAACCCCATGTTCAAAGCAGAGTCAGCTAGAGCAGGTTACTCAGGGCCATGTCCAGTCAAGCTTTGAATATTTCCAAGGTGGAAGATTTCACAGCCTCTCTGGGCAACCTCTTCCAGGGCCTTACCACCCTCACGGTGAAAAAGATTTCCCTTATTGCAATTCATGACTGTTGTCTTTTGTTCTTTAGTGCATGCCTCCAAGAAGAGTCTGGCTCTGTCTTCTTTATACCCTTCCATTAGGTAGCTGAAGACAACAGTAAGATCCCCTGAGAACCTTCTGTGCATAAGGCTGAACACACCCAGTTCTTGCAGCCTCTCCGTGTACGTCACGTGCTCCAGCTCCTGACCATCTTGGTTGCTCTCCACTGCACTCGCTCCAGTATGTCCATGTCTTTCTTGTACGGGGAAGCCCAAAAGCAGACACAGCACGGCAGATCCTGTCTCACAAGTGCCGTATAGAAGGGATTCATCTCTTTGATTGACCTGCTGGCTATGCCTTTGCTGATATGGCCCAATGTATGGATGGCCTTCTTCACTGCAGGTGCACTCTGCTGGCTCATAGTCCATTTTGTGTCCACCAGGACCCCCAGGTCTGTTTCTGGAAAGCTGCTTTCCCACCAGTTGATGCCCAGGCTGTACTGCTGTGTAGGTTTCTTGTGTCCCAGATGCAGGGATTTGCCTTTGTTGAACTTCAGGTGGTTTCTATCAGTTCTTTTCTCCAAAACTTTTCTCCCATTCTGACTAGCTGCCCTACCCTCTGGCCTATCAGCAGTTTCCCTCACTACCTGGCTGTCGTCTGTGGACTTGGCAGGAGCGCACTCCATCCCATCATCCAGGTCACTAATATATTCAACATTCTAGGTCTTGGTATTGGCCCTTGAGGGACACTGCTGGTAACAACTGCCAGCTGGGTTTTGTACTGCTGCTCACCACCCTGTGAACTCAGCAGTTCAAAAAAAATTTACCCAAGCTGCGGTCCCTGTATCCAGTCCATTTCTCACCTGTTTGACTGGAAGGTTTCTATGGCAGGCTGCAGAGGGCCATGCCATAGTCCAGGTAAACAGCATCCGCTGTACTCCCTTTGTCCACAGAGCCCGTCATCTCACCACAGAAGGGGGTCAGATGGTACAACCATGCTGGCTGTTCCCAGTCACCTTCCTGTCCTTCACGTGCTTGGACATGGCTTCCAGGACGACAGTCTCCGTCATCTTCCTGCGGACTGACGTTAGGTTGATAGGCCAATAGGTCCCTGGGCACTCCTCCTGGCCCTTCATTAAAATGGCGATGACATTGACCTTTTTTCTCTCCCCTGACTGCCATGACCTTTCCAAGATGATAAAGAGAGGTCTTGCAATGACATCAGCCAACCCTCAGCACCCTTGGATGCAGCCCATGTGGTTCCACAGTCTTGTGTTTGCCACGTTGACTGAAGTGCTCCCTAAGTCAGTCTGCGTTTCCTGTAAGTCAGGTATCACTCTCCCAGTCTCTACCAGTAGACGCAGAGAACTGGGACACCTCAAGATAAACCTGTAAAGTAAAAACTGAGGCAAAAAAGGTATTGAGGATCTCAGCCTTTTCCATGTCCCTAGGTCCTGTGCCCCACTGAATCATGGCCTCACAGTTTCCCTGGTTTTCCTTTTGTTGCTGCTGTATTTGTAGAAGCTCTTCTTGTTGCCCTTCACTAGATCCAGGCCCAGCTGAGCTTTGGCTTTCCTAATTCCATCCCTGCATGCTTGGGCCATGTTTCTGTGTTCCCCCCCCTCCCAGAGCAGCTCATCCATGCGTCCACTTCATGTGTGTGTGTTTAAGTTCTGTCAGGACTTTCCTGTTCATCTATGCCAACCTTCTATCACGCTTGCTCAACTTTCTGTACACTGGAATGGTCTGTCCTGGTGTTTTGAGGAAGGTGTCATTGAAGATCAACCATCTGCCCTTGGCTCCCTTTGCCCTTGCAGGCCGTGTCCCATGGGTTCCTACCAAGTAGATCCCTGAGCAAGCCACAATCCTCTGTCCTCGGGTCCGGGGTTGTAACTCTACTGTTTGTCTTGCACACTTCTCAGTATCTTAAACTCCACCAGCTCCTGGACACTGCAGCCAAGGTTACCATCAGCCTTCAGCTCCCTGATGAGTTCTTCCTTCTTCGTCAGTGACAGGTCCAGCAGAGCACCTCTCCTAGTCGGCTCATCGATCCCTTCTGTGAAGAAATTATCTGCTACACTCTCCAGAAATCTCCTGGACTGCTTGCACCCAGCCCTGTTGCCTTTCCACCAGATTCTGGAGTGGTTAAATTTCCTCACAAGTACCAAGGCCTGCCATCGTGAGGCTTCATCCAGTTGTCTAAAGAAGGCTTCCATCTACTTGCTCTTCTTGATCAGGCAGCCTGTAGCAGTTACCTGCCACGAAGTCTCCCGTGTTGGTCTGTTCTCTGATCGTTACCCATAAGCTCTCGACTGGTTTTTTACCTGTTCCACGGCAAAGCGCCATGAAATTGAAGCCACTCCTTTGCACAGAGCGCCCTTGAACAAATTTGTATACTCAGAAGCCTGAAAGAAATTGTAAAAATCTGTTTGTGCAATTAGCTAGACGTAAAATTCTCTTTCAGGCTTAGCAACTGAACACTTACACCAGTATTGCAGCTTTCGGAGACAGTAATCTAAATGCGTGACATGTTCAGCTGTAATGACTTTAATCCCTGAGATGCATCCATGCTTAGCACATACTTGATAAATACACTTTCCTCCGTTGTACTTTTCCTTGATTTGTGTATCATATTTTCTGGTGTATGGGGTGTACTTTCCCAAAAAGAGGGGTTTAAATGTCTTTTACGTTCCAAAATTGCTCAGTCCAACAGCAGTTGGTGTAGTTGATCCTGCCACCACCCCACTGGCAGAAGCCTCCCGAGTCCAACGCTTCCCTTATTTTTGGGGTGGCAGAGAGGTTACCTGTACAGCCGTGCATCATACACCTTGGGAAATACCGTCCTTCATTTCTTCTGTGCTTTTTAATTAATACAGAATTTCTGACTTCTGTAAAAGGTTGATAAAAATTCTTGATGAGAAGTTATTTATCTCACTAAACTGTAACACTTCAGTCTTTCTTCCTGCCGAAATAGCTTGTTAGATATTCCTGGGTACTGTCGTTGCCAGTGAGGGGTTTGCTACCAAGGTGAGATTTGTATTCAGTTTGGACTGTGGCCATGTATGCACTTTTTTTCAGATCACAGCGGAAAGTGAACAAAAAACCTGTCATTTGCCTTCCCACTGTTGTGTTTTCAAAAACCTTCTCCTGGATGCTCTCAGTGCAGCAGTCTTTTTTTTTCTTTTTTTTTTTTTGTTCTGTTTTTTAAGATTCAGTATGAGGTACGTGCTGAGGCATACTGTCCTAGTGCCGTTCCCCTGGATCCTCATTCTGCAGTCATGCATTTGTTTATTTCAAGAACCAACCGACCAAACAAAAAATCCCAGGATATTTAGTGAAGAGCATATGAAAATGACAAACTTTTTAATTTTTTTAATTAGAAGAAATTAATAAGAGGAACTTAGCTGTAAAAGAGCTCTACAGGAATACTGTCTTGTCATTGCTATGCGATCGATTGTTGTGTGGACAAAAGCTTCCCATTACAAATATGATATTTGACTACTGCAATACAAATAAGTTTTATTCTCCTAGTTTCCATATTCTTGAAAAACTGAGCATTTATATTTTTGTATAATCCACCCTTTTTGAATTATGCTTTTATCTGTGCTACAAACAATAAGCTTTGACACGTTTTTTCAAGAAATTGATAAAAAACTTTTTTTCAAGGTGTTTAGTAGTGAAATAGTGAAAAATACTAATTAGTAGACCTCAAACTACGATGACTAACAAAACTGTGTTTTGAATTTAATTAAGAAGCCCAACTAACTGTTTGCTTTTATATTAAGGAAATAACCAACAAGAGTTCTATAATGCTTACGGAGTGAGTCGTTTGCAGCATGATGTTTTCTGTTGATAACATCCCATTAACTCAGCAAGCATCCTCAAAAAGGTATTGAAGTGGGGTTTGTTTATCACATGGTACTTGTGCTCGACATCCATGATCCTCCATCTGTATGTAATAAATGAAATTGATGCATCTCTTTTTCCAAAATTTGACTTAGGCAGAAATAGTTCAACCTGATCACATGGGTAACTTCACCTAACTTTGGAAAACATTTTGGTATTAGTTTCTATTCAATAATTCTATTGCTTGATAGTCATTCATATACTTGTTAGTGATACAGTGTCTTTTGGTGTGCTGCTTGGTTTAAATCACTCAGATTTGCTGGTCTATGAATCTGTATTTGCAAACTTCTAAGCTAAGCAGGA